AGAAGAGGAAATTCGGAGACGGGGAGAAGGTAGTGGTTTACGAGGCTGCAAGCGCTATGCAGCATGATCTTCCAAAGAAAGAACGAGATCCCGGAGGGTTCGTGATTCAAATAGCCCTCGGAAACGGAAAGGAAGCTTCGGGGATGCTTGACCTCGGAGCAGGAATCAACCTTATGCCATTCTCGATCTTTCAGCGGTTGGGTCTCGGTGACTTGAGACCAACCCGTATGTGCCTCCAGCTGGCTGACCGTTCGATCAGATACCCTAAGGGGGTAGTTGAGGATGTCCTTGTTCGTGTCGGGAAGCTCATTGTCCCGGTAGATTTTGTCGTTTTGGATGTGGGGGATGTGCACGAAAACGGGAAGGATCATACTATCCTTCTCGGCAGACCGTTTATGGCAACCACCAACACCCTCATTGATGTCAAGAACGGGACCTTGAATATGACTGTCTTAGGAGAATCCGTATCTATCTCAGTCCGGGAAGCCACATCTGCATCTTCAGTTAACTTTGTAGAGGAGTGTGCTTTTGTTGACATGAGTGACCCGTTCGTGGAAGAGATGACTATACGAGAACTGGAAGAGAGGTCAATGCCCGACCTCGACGATGAAGAGGAGCCAATCATTGAGCTTTTTGCAGCTGTCGAACCACACGCATCTACCCCACCCGTTATAGAACTGAAAGAATTACCCCGCCATCTCAAGTACGTCTTCCTTGATGACGAGAAGCAAAAGCCAGTCATCATCTTTGCCGAGCTTAACCGGGACGAGGAGAATGAGCTAATTGAAGTGCTTAAGAAGAATCAGAAAGCTATTGGGTGGAACCTCGGAGATATAAAAGGCATCAGTCCCTCCACATGCATGCATCGAATCATCTTAGAGGAAGGTGCCAAGCCATTTCGGGACAGCCAGCGGCGGCTCAACCCAAATATGATGGAAGTTGTGAAGAAGGAGGTACTGAAGCTCTACTCCGAGGGACTCATCTATCCAGTGGCCGACAGCGAGTGGGTCAGCCCGATCCACGTGGTGCCTAAGAAAGGGGGCATTACCGTCATCGAGAACGAAAAGAAAGAGATGGTCCCCACCCGTATCACTACCGGGTGGAGAATGTGCATTGATTACCGGCGACTCAATGCCGTAACAAAGAAGGACCACTTTCCATTGCCGTTCATTGATCAGATTCTCGACCGTCTCTCTGGCCACCAATTCTACTGTTTCCTCGACGGTCTCTCGGGTTACTACCAAGTGGCCATAGCTCCGGAGGATCAGCCCAAGACAACCTTCACGTGCCCATTCGGCACCTTTGCCTTCAGACGTATGCCCTTTGGCTTGTGCAATGCTCCTGGGACTTTCCAACGGTGCATGTTCTCCATTTTCTCCGACATGCTCGAGGACTGCTTACAGGTATTTATGGATGACTTCTCTATTTTTGGTACTTCATTCTCTGATTGTCTCCATAATTTATCTCGTGTGCTTGAAAGGTGTATTGAGTCTAATTTGACCTTGAGTTGGGAGAAGAGTCATTTTATGGTGACTAGTGGAGTTGTGTTAGGCCATGTGGTGTCTAATCGTGGTATTGAGGTTGATAAGGCTAAAATTGATGTTATTGAAAAACTCCCTCCTCCTGTGAATGTTAAGGGAGTTAGAAGTTTTTTGGGTCATGCTGGCTTCTATAGGCGTTTTATCAAAGATTTTTCGAAAATAAGCCAGCCTTTGTGTCACTTGCTTGCTGATGGTGTGCCTTTCGTGTTTGATGATGCATGTGTAGAGGCTTTTGATAAATTGAAAGATAAGCTTGTGACTGCCCCAATTGTGATTGCACCTGATTGGTCTTTACCATTTGAGATTATGTGTGATGCATCGAATCTTGCTGTGGGGGCCGTTTTGGGTCAACGAGTCGATAAATTGCTTCGAGTAATTTATTATGCTAGTTTGACTCTCAATGGTGCCCAATTGAATTATACTACCACTGAGAAAGAACTTTTAGCTGTTGTGTTTTCTCTTGAAAAATTTAGGTCTTATATCTTAGGATCTAAAGTAATTGTGCATTCCGACCATGCAGCCCTTAGGTATCTTTTGAGTAAAACTCAATCGAAACCGAGACTTATTCGGTGGATTCTTCTTTTGCAAGAATTTGATGTAGAGATTAGGGATAGAAAAGGATGTGAAAATGTTGTTGCTGATCATTTGTCTCGTATTGTTCCTTCTGATTCTTCACTTTCATTGCATGAACGTGTTGGTGTGAATGATAATTTTCCTTACGAGAATGTTAGTGAAGTGACTACTATTCCTTGGTACGCAGACATTGTGAATTACTTGTCGTGTGGAATATTGTTGTCTAACCTCTCTTCCCAAGAGAGGAAACGCTTTGTGTTGATGTGCAGGAGTTATTTTTGGGAGGACCCATTCCTTTTCAAAATGGGAAAAGATGAAATCCTTCGGAGGTGTGTGCCCGAAGAAGAACAAGCGGATGTTCTCGCGTTTTGCCACGAGTTCCAATGTGGAGGCCATTTTGGAGGGAGGAAGACCGCTCTCAAAGTTCTCCAATCAGGTTTATTCTGGCCTACTCTCTTTAAAGATGCTCATAACTTTTGTAAATCTTGTGACCGTTGTCAAAGAATTGGGAATATTAGTTCCAGAAATGAAATGCCCTTGGTTAACAATGTTCAAGTGGAAATCTTTGATGTATGGGGCATTGATTTTATGGGACCATTTCCCAAGTCTTTTGACTTTGAGTATATACTTCTTGCTGTAGATTACGTGTCCAAGTGGGTTGAGGCTATCCCCACAAGGACGTGTGATGCTAATGTGGTTATCAAGTTTTTGCAAGGTCATGTGTTGAGCAGGTTTGGATTTCCGCGAGCTATTGTAAGTGACGGGGGCAAGCATTTTTGCAACCGGATATTCGAGAAGCTGACGAAGAAATACGGCATTTCACATAAAGTTGCCACCCCATACCATCCGCAAACTTCCGGGCAAGCAGAAACGAGCAACAAGCAGATCAAGACTATTCTTGAGAAGACGGTGAACTCGTCTAGGAAAGATTGGTCCAGTCGTCTTGATGATGCATTATGGGCCCACCGCACAGCTTACAAGGGAGTCTTGGGGATGAGTCCGTTCCGGCTAGTCTACGGGAAGGCGTGCCACCTTCCAGTCGAAATCGAGCACAAAGCTTTTTGGGCAATAAAGCGGATGAATTTTGACCTTGATGCAGCCGGACGTGAGCGGATGTGGCAATTGTCAGAACTTGAGGAGTTGAGGAACGAAGCTTACGAGAACTCCAAAATTTACAAGGACAAAGTTAAGAAGCTTCACGACTCGACCATTGTCCGGAAGAACTTAGTGCCTGGTATGAAAGTCCTCTTATTCAACTCCCGACTTCGTCTCTTTCCGGGAAAGCTCAAATCACGGTGGAGCGGGCCGTATCTTATCGATGAGGTGTTATCACTTGGAGCTGTTCGACTTCGAAATCCAGCAAATGGCGAGTTATTCGTAGTCAATGGGCAAAGGGTCAAGCCTTATTTCGAAGGAGAATTCGAAAAGAATCATGTCGAGACTATCAGTCTCGACGAGCCACTGTATCCTTGATCCATACTAGTGCCGAGCTCCCGGCGATAAACCGAGCTTATTCTTGTAATTTTTGTACATATATGTATATATATATATAAAAAAAAAAAAAAAAAAAAAAAAAAAATGTCGCGGCCGCGAGGCATCTCTTAGCCGCGGCCGCGGCGAACATTCTGATGAGCTGTGTTTGATTTCTGCAGGAATATTCTCGCGGCCTCGGAGGATTGTCGCGGCCGCGACAACATTGTTCACCAAGGCCGCGGCGACATTTTTTTGGTCGAGGGGTGTGCAGTCCTGGGTGCTAAAGTTCGCGGCCTCGGAGGAATCCCGCGACCGCGGAGTTAAGTCACGGCCGCGAGAGGTTTCATCGCCGCGGCCGCGGCGTTGTGTCGTTCGCGAGCTTTCCATTTCTGCAACTAATATCTCGCGGCCGCGGGATGAGGTCGCGGCCGCGGCGCCCGCGACGGACCGTTTTATACCCTTGTTTGCTTATCCACCCAACACAACTCTCTTTCCCATATTTCGACCGGCACAAGCGAACAATCCATCTCTCCTCCGCTCAACCGACGACCACCGCCGATCAACCGCTCTCCGGCGACGTTCCTCCGGCAGCTCACGATCTCCGGCGGCACGTTTCGGCTTCTACCCTTGCCGTCCACGCGCGGCCCCGATCTCCGAACTCTAGCTGCAGAGTCCCCATCAATTCCGACGAATCTCCGGCATCTTGCACTCTCAGACGACCTACTCACGACTTAGTCCTCCCGTTGCGAACCAATTTCGGCATTCATCCGGCCTCGACCAACCCACGTGACTCCACTCGGCAATTTTCTCGTTTCGCACCGGATTTCTCACGATAAGGTACCGATAGCTTCTTATACATTGCGTTTGGGTATTGTTGAGGCGTGCGGAGGCCAACTCCGGGATCGAGCCGGTTCAAATTGTTCACAAGCTTCTACTTCCAAACACCGCACGCCACGTGTTCGACATATTGCCCGAAAGACCGTTCCAATGGGCAAGAATCCGTTTCGTCCCACTAAAAAGAAAACCACTCAAGAACCGCCTCGGAAGCGTCAAGCGGGCGAGTCCTTCTCTCGAGATGCCCCTCCGGAAGGTGCACGAGATGATCTTTCGGATCAATACGGGGCCCCGTTCCCGATTTACTCGCGGAAGGAGGGCGAGATTTATGCTCGTCTCTCGCAAAAGGAGGTCGTGAGACCGAAGGCGGTGGACTGGGACCTTTTGAACGAGTTGGGTATCCTTGAGGACGTGATGAAGTACCTCAAGGTCTTGAACTTAACCGACTACGCTAAGATTGAGGAGAGGTCGTACCGGTCCCTTATGCTTGAGTTCTACAGTTCTTTCGTTCTCGCCGATGGGAACGACTTCTTCACTTGTCGGCTTAAGGGACAAGAACTCGTGGTGGACAATGCCGTGATGAAGGCGGTTTGCGGGTTCAACTTCGCCGGTACGCGAAACAAAGCTTCCGATTTTGATCCCCAGAAGAGTTGGGCCGAGCTCTCCCCGCATACGACGTGGGATTCCGCGGGTATGTCCAATGGGCTTATCGAGGACCTGGCCACAGCTGTTGTGCATCGATTCATTTGCTACAATATCACCGGCAAAAAGGAAGCGAACAAAGTCAGTGAGGGTGAGCTTTTTCTCCTCTGGGCGATGCGGTCGGGAGTGCGAGTGTGTTCCATGACCTTCCTTCAGAACTCTTTCCAGGAGATTGCCCTCTCCAAGCGTGGACTACCGGCGCTCGGGCATTTTGTTACCGCACTCGCTCACCACTTTGACGTCACTCCAGAAGCTTACAGACTACATGGGGAGATGGCGCGTCAAGACATGTCTGAGATGCGGTGTATCAACTTTAACGAGCTCAAGCAGGCTGACCTTATTCTGAATCGGCGAACAGCTAAGGAGTATACGAAACGTGCTGCCTACGAGACCTATTTCAAAAAGCTCCAGCAGGGTCAGCCTAATTCCGATCCGGCTGGGTCGTCTCGGCAACCGACGGAGGACGCGCATGAGCAGATGAATATTGACGAGGACCATCTACTTCCCCCTCCACCCGACTGGACGCCGGCGCCAAACTCTCACCCGGAGATGCCCCCGCAGCAGCCACCGACTTGGTGGTCCACATTTCAGACTCAGTACACAGCCGACATCCGTTCGATCCACGATCGCTTTGACGCCCAGGACAGCAGATGGGCTGCCTTTGAGAGCCGACAGACCACGCAGTGGACCGGTTGGGAGGCACAGCAGACCACTAGATGGGACCAGTGGGAGACCCGACAGCAGACCCACTGGACTCAGATGGGTACCCAGTTCGACACTTTCGCTGGCGGCCTCCAGTCAATCCGCGAGCGGCAGGACCAGCAGGATGCTAGGATGGACAGCTGGGACCAGCGCTTCACTCAGTGGGACGCCCGTTGGGGTTCGGGTCCCAATCGCCCTCACCAGCCACCATCACCTCCGGATGCACAGTGACTTGTCACTGTGCTTTGTATGTTCTCTTTTTCCCTTTCTCTTTTTCTTTGTGTACAGCTTCTTGGTTTCTGTTTTTGCGTTGGTCTGTTATATGGTCTAACTCTCCTTCACCGCGACTTGACAATGGGGACATTGTCTGGTTTTAAGTGTGGGGGAGTTTTACGTGATTATGTGGTGGACCAGTCTAGTTTTTAGGTTTCTGTGCGTTTTCAGAGTCTGGACATTGGTGTATTGCAAAGCTTTTTGATAATCGTTGGTTTAATTGAGAAGATGTGATGATGAGCACGAGTAATATATCTTTAATTGATTAGCTTCGTTGTGTTGAGGAATATATTTACCTTGTGAGGTTTGAGCCTTATTGTTTCTTGTGTGATATTGGTCTGAATCTTGTTAATTAGAATTTGCCTTGAGACTGCTTTGAAATAATTGGATTAGATTGATGTGACGTGAATATGATTGAGGCATTTCTTGTACTCCCTTTTCCTTTTTCTTTGTCGAGAATAATAATCACTAGTCATCCCCTTTGAGCCTTAATTGAATTTTCTTGTTAACCTCGTGATGAAGATATTGAGTTGCGGGTTGGGAGTTGGAGGTGACGATTGATTGCTGTGTAAATATTCGTGTTTGATTCGATGTGAAAAAAAAAAAAAAAAAAAAAAAAAAAAAAAAAAAAAAAAAAAAAAAA